CAAAGATATGGAATCAGCCTGTGTCTATTCACCAATGAGTGGATAAATAAAGTGTGGTGTGTGTCTGTGTTTATAAATAAAACATACCATGGAATACTACTCAGCCATAAAAAGGAAAGAAATGATGTCTTTTGCAGCAACTTGGGTGGAACTTGAGGTCATTATCCTAAGCAAAGCAACTCAGGAACAGAAAAACAAATGCCACATATTCTCACCTTTAAGTGGGAGCTAAGCTATAGCTGTGCAAAGACACCCAGAGTGGTATAACAGACACTGGAGACTTAAAAGGAGGGAGGGGATGAAAATTACCTATTGGGTACCATGTACACTACTCAGGTGATGGGTATACTAAAAGCTCACACTTCACTACTATACAATACACACATGTAACAAAATTCAACTTGCACTCCCTAAATATATTGAAATTTTTTTTTTTAAAATGCCTCTAACCCTGGATGCCTAGTACAGCTTGGACAGACTCTTCTTTTAGCTTGATCTGAATTCTTAACTTGGAGACCAAACTTTGCCAGAGTATCTTCACAGTTCTAGCTCCTCTAGAGCTGTTTACATCAAAAGCCCCTACAAATTGTTTTCATAGTGGTCAAATCATTCTTCAGCTTGGTTCTTTTCATTTATTAAGGACACCTAGCTAGTATCAAGCAAGTCCTAAATAAAATGTTTAATTCCTTCATGTGGAAGGAGAGCCTAGTCCATAGGCTACCAGCGATTACCAGAGTGAGCATGTGTGGGCTGTCTCCAAGGCGGTACTCAAGCTGCCAAGAGCGCCCCAATGCGCCCCATTCCAAGCACATGAGCCCGTGCGGTGTGTACCGTGCTGTGTTCTGCAGCGCTTTCCCGTCGACACCAAGGCCCATGTCCTTCTTGTGGGAAACAGAAGCATAGAGCCAGATAGTATGCCTCTGTAGTCGTGAACATGAAATCTCATGATCACCATTTTATAAGCACAAGGCAGTAGTTTCCATTTCTTTTCATCTTAAGTTATTTGTAACTAGAGCCTGTTCTTTTTTCTGATTTAGACTGAGTAGGTCCTGTAAACAAAAGATTAGATACACAACTGCTTTCTGAAAGAGTTTGGAATTATAAAAGCATGCTTTCCGAAACTTAACGTTTAAAAATACATTGAGTCATGCATTAGAAGTCTCTAAACAGAGATAGGATGATCTCACCACCCAACAAGGATTTCCTGAGCCTTCCCCACTAACTCAAGTTACTGGGAAATACTTCTTCCCTTCTCCTGACATTTCCCTCCTGTGAAGAGTGCTCATCAGTGTAATCAGTGTAATTCCTAGCTGCTTATGTCCCAGACTCACGCTATTCCTAGAGCCCAGTAAATTTGGGAAGCGTGCAAGGCTCAGCCCCACTCTTCTTTTGTAGAACTGGCTTTATTTGAGGAAAGCATACATTTGGCATAAATTATACAGGGGGAGGCCTGCCTCGCTCTAATGCTAAGTGGAACTGAATGGTTAAGTCTGCCTAATTCTGTTGTTCAGTATCAACCTGGCTGTTTCGCTAACAGACTTTAAACTATGTATATTTTGTGACATTTTGGTATCCATATTTTCTCTATTTTTTTCCCAACTTATTGAAAACCTAGAAAGGAAAGAGGGTTTGTTTTATTTTGTTTTAAATGGGGGCCCCAACTTATATGGCACAACATATTAATATAATTAGTAATTTAAGAGAAAAAATATGTGTATTAATAGCCTTAGAGACTTTACAGATGCCTGGAAATAAATATGTATCTTTATCCTCTGATGATTAGAAGCATTCACCTGCAAGGAAATCATCAATAAATTATGAATTATGTTATAGACATACTTCAGTGTTACTATGTTGAAAACTCAATAACACTCTATAAATAATTCTTAACCATAGTGCATTACCTAAAACCAGTATGCAAAAGAACTGACTTCAAATACATTGTGTTTTCCCATAGATATAATGTTAAAGTTGTAATCCTGACCTAGAAGACAATATCAGGTAAATCAGAGACCTGATCAACAAATATCTGTTCACATATTAATTCAAAATAAATGCAGGTTAAAAAGATCCTTTGGAGCTATGTTCCCCAAGTGTACTTTAAGAAACCGAGTCCAGAAGATGTTTCTTTCAATATAAAAAGTTTTCTTTGTCAATGAAGCTTGGGGAACACATAATGATATTATTTTTCCTCCTAAAGATTCACAATGCACACTAAACTATTAAAGGCTTTGTAAAGCTCTGCTTAATGTTTCTTACCCCAGTATCCATCAAACGTATCTAAGCACAGGACATTATTTGCAAGTAGCATCAATTAATTCCCATGAAAAACACTTTGTGAAATGCTATCTTATAACAGCAAACATTATTGAGAGGTAACACCCAAATCCCTTAAAGAATTCTGATGGGTAGCATATTGCCTCTATCCCTACGTTACTGGGTTATATAAAATGCAGAAGTGAGACTCACACTCCACACAATTTCATCCGTGAGTTTAAGTAGCAGAAAAATTTATATGATGCATATATCAAATAATACCTTGTGAAACTATATAGACACTAAGACTGGGCATTTCATGTGTATAAAACCCATTCACCTCACCAGCAATCACTGAAGTGGAACACCTTGGAAGGAACTTGACTCGGTCTTCCAAGGACCCTTACTGTACTCCTTGAGTTAGAATTAGCCAAGGATTTCCTCTCAGCCTTTTCCCGAGAGGGCCATCATCTTTCTTTCCTTGCTACTACCACACCTGCCTTCCTGGTTGCTCAGATTGTAAAGTCTCAACTTCCCACCATCTGGATAATGACAGGCTGTGTAGAAGCTGTTAGCTGTCTAATTAAGTCTCTACTACGGTGAGAATTTCTTTAAATTCCATTTGTGATTATCTACTCTTAGAGTCATGGTTCCCAAACTGTGTGCCAAAGTGCCCTGGGACGCTGTAGTAATTTTACAGGTAATTTAAATTTTTAATACTTTTAAAATTTTAAATTTATAATACTTTACATCGTTCAGACATAGCACAATCTCCTAGCTCAAAATAGTTCATAGTTTCAACATTATATCACGTTATATTCATTTTGGTAATGGTCTAATCTTTGCAAAGCTAGATTTTGGGTGATTGCTGTGATAAAATCTAGTATCATAAAAATCAATATGGAAGAGAAAGTGAGGATGTTTCACTCTGATTCTTTTGGTCTAGGTGCACTATGAAAAATACACTGAAACACTAAGTGCACCATAATCTCAGGACATCTGGGAACCTCTGCCTCAGAGGTTTAGAGTTAAGAAAATATAAAAGAGATTTCAGCCTCAGTAAGGAAACATTCCTCTACAGATTTATCTCCTCCGTTGCTTAAAAAAAAAAAAAAAAGTACCATAAAATATTAAGAATCTAAAAAGTGTGCATTTATATCAAAAGATAATTCTCTACTGATAAACTGAAACCAAACAAACTAAAAAGAAGGAGAGATAGAGATGGAGATAGAGATAGGAAGGAAGGAAACTGTGCATTTTAAGTTTATAAAACTTTTATCTCTATGTCAGAGAAAGTAATCAGATGCATTCTCCATTTTGAGTCTGAAAAAGAAAGAAACCCATGAGAGATAAAGAGATAAACCCATGAGAGATTCACTTTAGATGCTTCAAAGAAGAGAAAACAATGAGAAGATTATTTGACTCTGACACACAGAAGCTGGGAGAGACACAGTTGCTACAGCTGGCACATCTATCTCCTGGAACTTGTTCCTTCTCCTTGGTTCTCTTCAAGGTCACACTTATGTGACACTCAGGCAGCTATAAGCATGGCCCCCAAGGAGTGATTTAACATCCCTTCACTCTAAGCCACATTCCTCTCTAAAGAAAATATGCCTGAATTTGTGAAAGTCTCTACCTTGGAGCTAAGCATGGGGGACTGGGAAACTATGAAATCATTCTTGCCACCATTTCTGTCTTCCCCCTTTTGTCTAGGTACCCAATGTAGAGCTTTCTATTCTTCTTTTAGTTCTTAAGTTTAAGCAATGCGAATAAGGAGAGCAGAAGTGAGCTATACATTATTGAGTTTAGCCTACAAAAAAATCATTCTGCAAATCCACCCAAGGCATCAGATTTCTAGGACCCTACCTGGTATCACCAGAAGGTAAGGACCTTGTTACTTTCTCTATCAGTCACCATCCTGTTTCTTATCTCCAGCCTGTTGTTTTTCCTCCCTTGACTGACTAGTCATCCTCTATCCTCAGAGGCTGCTCCAAGAGCCTCTCTCCTTTTATCAGCCCTCATCTTTGTCAGTCTGCAGATCATGCACTATGCTAAGATCTTTCTTCAAAGATTTAACCATGATTTTCCATAGGCATTCAAAACCATCGAATTGAGCTCTAATTTCCAATCAGAGAAACTGTTAGAAACTATATTATGTCATTTTGTAATCCAATACCTTGATTCTTCAGATAATGAAAATGGGTAACATTAAATGACTTGCCTAGGTTCGCATAGGCTCACACAGATTTGGAGAAATGTACGTATAGAGTCTACCTCCTTTGTCTTGCTATAGGTCATAGTATACTTTTTTTAAGTCTCTAAAATAAGCATTGAATATTAATGCAATGCAGAGGTCATTCATCACTGTTTGAGCTCAGGAGTTTTCAAGAGACTTCAACTCAGTTCCACAATAATACCATCCCACCCCTCCAAGTGATCAGGGCCCCACCACCCTTTTCTCATCTAACAGATATGCTGGAGTATTGTGACAAGGGGATGATGTCACGATGGAGTAGGTCAGTCTCTATACTGGGCTCTATACTGGGTATCTCTCCTGACGGAAGGAGACTGCTCTAGGTGCTAGCTGCCACTACCTACATAAAATCTTCCTGGGATGTCAATAGGAAGGAGAACTAACCTCGTCACTGTGGGCAGGTGTGAACAGGCCACCCCTAGTGACAGCTGCCCAATATGCATGTCAAGGCTTAACCACAAAGATCCTGGGTATTGGAGAGTGACCCTACCTATTCTTGATGGTCCTTTGTTCCCATGATAAGAATCTTTTCATGAGGAATCTTTTACAAAAGTGCCTATGATTCCATTGTCTCAGAAACACCACCCCTCCATGGATTAACCTGCTCCATGGTGACATCATCCCCTTCTCACAATGCTCCAGCAGATCTGTTAGATCAGAAGAGGGTGGTGGGCCCTGATCACTTGGAGGGGTGGGATGGTCCATATTAAAAGAATGCTCCTATTAATGCTGACACATTAATTATGATGGGCCCCAAATACTATAGTATATAAAATATACAATTCTACTTTATCATAATTTTAACAGTTCCAAATATAAATTACTAGATATAACAAGCATTAGTCCAGTAGTTGATTAACAATCATTTCTCTTGCCTTCTTAGAATTCATACATTATAGAATTCATATTTTTACAATGTTTTAAATGCACATTTATAATTAAAACATTTTATTTCTACATAAAATAAATTGTTATATGTGGTTTTATCCAAACCTTTTAACTTTTACACTTTTCCTAAAAGGTTAGATGCAAAATCATTTCCAGATGCATATTTATCAGAAAGTTTTATGCCTAAATGATATAACACAGCATCTAGAGTCATTACTTTGAGGAAAATATTGATTTTAACTGTAAATGCTTAGCATTAGAAACATTAATAAGGGTTTAACATTTATTCATTTAACTCTGTCACGATCTGATTAACCACAGCTTTAAAAAATACTTAATCATATGTATTTTAATTCATGACACTTAATTCTCCTATTAGACTTAAAAACATGTATAATGCAAAAATATCAACTTGAGTAGACAAGGACTACATCCTACCGACATTTCCTACAGGCAAATTGTCAGAATAAGGCCCATGCAAGGATTCAGAGTCCCAACAAGTGTACATGCAGCAAGCAGCAATGCTACACCAGTCATTAGGATCAACACCTCAGCTCTCCTGGTATTGCAGATGCCCAGCAAGCACCACAGATGCAACTTACCCTCAACTCACGTGCCCCTTTCTCTCAAATCTCCTCCGCCTTCCTCTGCTCCGTCATCACCAGCATTCATGGAAGAAACCTGCCTGGTACACGTCTCCTTCCTATCAGCAGGCAAGCAGCCCAGCAAGGTAGAACTCACAGGTCTACAACTCCTAACACTTATCTTTTCCTAACAGCCTCCAAGCTCAAACCCTCCCCATCCTGGCCTACCTTTGCTCAGATATTTATAATTTCTATGTGAATTACAACAAAGACCTCCCTGACTCCTGTCTTGCCCTAATTGATACATATACAGAATGGGGTTCCTTTTTGTTGAAAATGTTATGAAACTAACACTGCACAGTATTGAAAAAGAAAAAGCCTGTGCAGCACAGAAGCTAGTGAAGAAGTGAGAAGAAGTGAGTGAGACTCACCAAGAAGAAGTGAGTCTCCAACTCGCCACATCTCAGTCCACATCCTAGAAGCTGTTTCTTCTGAATCCACCCAGAAATTTCCCACATATGTTTTCTTTCTCTTTTAATACAGATTCGAACAAACATTTGACTTGGCCTTTCTGGTCCTAACTACTCTTATGGATAGGAGGGCTGCTCTGGTAGGTGCACGTCTGATGGCCAAACTGGCCATTCCTTCAAAATGCACCCATGGTGCCTCTTGTCACTGTTCAACCATCTTACAAATGCCGTGTTCCTTTTGGACATGAACATCTTTCACTGAGATGGTGAGCATGGCCTCTTTCCTTAGGAATAATCTCTTGGTTTTAAGAAGAGAGCACACACACCTGGAAGGTGTTTTCCTAGAGAGGTAATTTAACATAGGAATTAAGTGCACAGGCTCTGGAGCCAGACAAGCAAGGGCTGAGTCCCGGCTGTATCAGCAATAAGCTGTGTGATCTTCAACAGGTTACTTAATCTCTCAGTGCCTTCGCCTTGTCTGTAAGGTAGGGATAACAATAGTATCTACTTCATAGAGTTGATATGATTTAATGACTTAATATTGATGATATGCCCATAACAGTGTCTAACATATACTAAGTATTGTTAAAAATGTCTGTTATATAAAATTTAAAAGTCCATAATGTGCATGGCATTATATAAACATGTGACTCAATGTGTTTCCACTCAGCTTTACTTAGTCCTCCTCTACATCCTGTCTTTGTAAGTATTGGAACTATATGTAGAGATCACAACTTATCAAGCTAATCATTTTCATTTTATGGTAAAATTTCAGTTTAAATCTTAAGTATTTGAATTTCAAATTGAGCGTATGATTCAGCATCAATGGTGTGATGCTAGTTAACCTTAAATCGGAAAATATTTTTACAAAGCAATCTTTATTCCTTTTGAGGTAGTGAAAAATTATTTATTATGTATTAAAGTGTTGCTGCTGCAAAGCATAGCAGATTGATGAGCTGTTAGGGGGCTGAATTATTCCCCAGGTTGAAAGATGCCTTTCGGTTGTATTAATCGCCGACCCCAAAACCACAGTGGACACAGGAGAGCCTTGCTTCTGACGGTCCCCTGCACAGCCCAGCCCAGCTCCACCAGGTCACACTCTGCAAACGCAGACTCTTTTCCTGAAGAACACGTGAGGTAAACCAAGGTTTCCTCTCTAGGTTGTCTTCATACATCCTGCACTCCATCAAGATTCCTCATTTACATCAATTTTACAAGTTAAAATTTAAAAATTAGGTGGAAGTTCAGAATGTCATATGAAACCAAATAAAAGCCCATTTATCCTCCTGAAAAGCCCCTGTGTGAAGAATGTTCCTCTCAGGAGCACAGCGCTGACCACAGACCTCAGGGGGCTCCTGTCCTTTCTCTGCTTCCTCACCTCCTCCTCCTCCACCTGACTGTCCCATGTGGTCATTTATCAGTAGGAATTGCCGTCGTTCCTCACACCTTAAGTCAATTGCCATTTCAATAAAAGTGCTAAATGTTGCCTATAAAAACTGAAGCATAAATACTTTCTAGTTGGTCATTACTAATAACTGTTTTCAGGGAGAGATGATACGTATTCATCTCTCAGCCAGCCCTCCGCTAGACTCTGAGGATGAAAGAGTGAATAAGATAGACACGGTTTGTGTCTTGACAAAGCCTATGTTCTTCTGGGAGGGGCAGATAAAACAAGTTATCAGGCAATAAATAACACGTTCACAAATTTTGATTAAAAGGTGAAATCAAGTGACTATCCAAAGAAAAAAACAATACTTCAGAGCGAGTGTTCTCACCTTGGCTACCACGTTAGCATCACCTGAGGAGCTTTTAAAACTACCAAGTCACACCCCAGGATCAATTAAAGAATATCTGGGGTAGGACCAGACACCAGTTTTTTAAAGCTCCCCAAGTGATTCTAACATACAGCCAAGGTTCAGAATCGTCATTTTACTCTTACAGAAAAAAATTACAGAATTACAAGCACTTAGGAGAAATTTAGTTCCTTCCTTGATTAAATTTAACTCATTATAAATAATAGTTGGATGACCTTAAATAAGTTATTTAATTTTAACTGTAAATGGTTAGCCTCTGCATACCTTAATTTTCTTATTTGTGAAATGTATCATCATCTTTCCATGACCAATATATTGAACAAGAGTATGCATGTCAAATGCTTATCACAGTAACCTACACCTAGAAATTTCTCTGTAACTGTCAGCTATCAATACTGATTTGTTTGTATTGTCATTATTACTTGCTCCGTTGCAGAGGACTGAAACTTCCTTAGGGCCTCAAGCTGTCTACCACATAAACTGGGCACCAGCACTTCAGCAAGCTTTTCTTGGGTTTTTAACACACTGCAAAGATTTGCCTTCATTTATTCCCTGTTGCTTTTACCTCCCTGGTATCGTTTTTCTGTTCTACACATTTCCTTCTCACCTTGAAGAAAAAGAATTGCCAACTTCTGCACAAAAGACACAGTAGGATACGTGATTTCCCAGAGACCATGGGAGACTCTGAGTACAGTCCCCTCCCTGTCTTTACCCTGTCCAACTCATCCTAAAATGCTTCTCCCCTAATCAGTGGCCAGCTGCCATTGAATCTATTTCTTTGCTAATAAGTTGAGCAAGTTTCTACTTTCTTTTCCTGATCTCTGAATGAAACCTCAGAAATAAAAGCATGCACTTTGTTCCAAGCACACAATTTTACTTTATATCTATCTATATATAATGATGACATGCACTATTTCCATACAACATCTAACTTACTCATCTACAAAATGTGAATAATGACAAGAAATATCTTTATTTAAAACATATTGCCACCCATGCTTGAGGTATAACACCACCACATTTAAAAAAATATATCTCTGTGACAGAACTATGGCCCAGTCCCAATTGATGGCATGCTTATTTTTGGCAACATGAGATACAAGGATATTATGTTCCTATAAAATAATGTAGACAGACACACATTGAAGCTTGCTAAGGTATAGTTTTGCATAGATGTTTTTATATGATAAAATCAGTTGTATGTCTGAAGATTCCCAGACATGAATCTCACCAGCATTACTCAAAATTGATTACAGCCCATGGCCTCCTATATGATAGACAACTAATATTCACCTGTGTTTCAAATTACTTCTCTTGGGCTCACGTATAAGGACTGAGGTACACTGTGGTCAGCAGGGTATAGGAAGCAAATAACCAATACGCCAAATTGATGTACTGGAAATACTAAGCACACAGCCCCTAGCACAGCTGTGGGAGCCCAACCTCAGATGCCTAGCAGACAATTAGAAAATGTTTAGTGCTAAGCCACAAGAGAACAAAGCACACCATTGCTTTCAAATTTTGTTTTAAGATGACAAGAAGCTTTACGGCAAGATGGCTGACTAGAAGGAGCTGGCACAGGCATCTCCCTCAGAGAAGAACCAAGATGTTGATTAAATACCCATACTTCAAATAGATTGTCTAGGAAAGAACACTGGAATATAACAGAGAGCCCATGGGACACACCAAGTGTGAAGGAAGGGGAAACAGGATTGCCTGCTCAGGGTCACTGAAAGCCTTGAGCAGCCCCTGGATCTGGACCCAGGGAAGGGGAAGAAGGGGAGTGAGAGACCCCCAGGCTCCACACTTCAGCC